CTGCTTCTCCCTCTGACCCTCCCCCCTCTCGTGTACTCTCTCTCTCTAATAAATAAAATCTTTAAAAAAAATAATAATAAAATAAAATAAAATAAAAAACAAAAACAGTAACAACAGCAAACCCTAGGGACAGGAGGATTTGATTTCCGTAGTTGTCACATTGTAATATTTTACAAAATCTTCAACTAAAAATTAAAAGACACACAAACGGGAGGTATGGCCTATACAGAAGAAAAATAAAAGCAGTCAATAGACACTGCCCCTGAGGAAGCCCAGACATTGGGCTTACTAGACAAAGAGTTTAAATCAGCTTTTATAAGTATGTTCCAAAAAATAAAGGAAACCATATATAAAGACTTAAAGTAAGAAAACAATGTCTCATCACATAGAGAATATCTAATAAAAAGATGGAAATTATATAAAGAAAATAGAAATTCCTGAGCAATAACTGAAATGAAAAATTGGTAGAAGACTCAGCAAATTCGAAGACAAGTCAATTGAAATGATTTAACCTGAGAAGCAGAAAAATAAAAAATGAAAAGAGCAATTGAGAGACCAATTGGACATTATCAGGTCTTCCAGCACATACATAATGGGAGTCCCAGAAGGAGAAAAGAGAAAGAAAGGGGTTGAAAGAATATCTGAAGAAATAATGACTGAAATCTCCCCAAATTTGATGAAAAATTTAAATCTGCACATTGAAGAATCTCAACGAATTCCAAGTAAGGATAGATTTTAAGTAATCCACCCACAGACAAATCATAGTAAAAAAACAAAGACATAAAATCATGAAAACAGCAGGGAAAAAGTGAATTTTCATATACACAAGATCCTGAATACTATTAACACCTGACCTCTCATCAGAAACCGTGTCATCCCCCTGCTCTCTCTAGCCAGGTTGGCCAGCGCTTACTGGACATGATTAGCTCTGACAGACTCTGTTGGGCTTGTATGTCTGCTTTATAAGCCCTGTGTTTCCGATTTTCTGTGGCACAGATTTTACTTGTAATGATGATATGCCTTATAATCATCCTCATTGTGGCAACAGACATGCTCAGACTGGCTCTGTTAAATCTTTTCAGCAGTGTCTGGATCTATAGATGATGAGAGTCAAAAGCCTCTTTAGTTAAGATACCCCAGTCAACAGGGTAAGACTCATTATGACTTCCTTTTGTGTGTAATGATACACAGGTGAGCTACTGAGAGGCATGTGGGATGCTGTAGTTCCTAGTTTGGTTTCCTTTTTCCTATTGTGTGCAAGTCTTTTATTTGGCTGGATTGGTTACCTAGGAAACAGCTGCAGGGTAAAGATGAATTGGCTGTTTGAGAAATGGAATTATAGGCCCCTTACAGAAGCAAAAGACCTGTTGGATGAAACAAAACAAAAATCAGTGAATGGCTGAGCTTGTGCCTAATTATTAATTAGCGTGCTTTAGGAAATTACACCAAGAGAAGGTATGTAGAAGAAACTAATGCTATGTGATTTTAAATTTAGGTTGTTTTTCATTCTTTTAAGTTCACCAGTTGCTTATTAATTCATGCTTCGTGCCCACTGCTGCAGGCCATTCTGGGGGTTACCAATGAAGTAGAAGGTTCAGTTCCTTCCTAAAAAACCCATTTTCTGTTTGAGGTAAAGAAAAAAAAAAGTTAAAATCAAGTACATGATTGTGTGATGTGTCCTGGGAATTTGGAGGATATAAAAAATCTTGGCTAGTCAACATAAGAGATGGATTTGAATCTACAAGTAGGAGATAATTCTTTGAGGTAGAGGATGAGATTTAAAGACCGGTGTGAGTTTGGGTACTAACAGTACCTGAATTTACAAGATGTAATAGCAGCACAGGTACCTTTACAGATCCCTTTCCCCAGACAGCTTATGGAAAATATGTGACTGTGATATAAACTATGTTGACCTAGAGTCTTACTCATGAAAAAGAACTTCAACAATGTTGACTCTTTGTACTAACCTGTATGATTTATTTAAGGGAAGTCTATTTTCACTGAAAATGTGACAGAGTATTAGTTTTTGGAATCCCGACCACCATAACAATGCTGGGCACAAAGACATTCAATAATTCACAATTTTGTGAGATGATTTTCCTATATACAGCATATCTTATGGCTATCAGCTAGCTTTAGCTTTCTTTTCTTCCAGAATGTAGCTGCAGAGTATTTGGTCTCGATTTGTGGTAATACGGACTTTTGTAATTACAGGAACATAATTCTTCTTTTAAAACTGAACATCTGTCAGGCTATTTCCATATGCTTTGTGGAAGGGACAGCTCTCATTTTCATTTCCATTTTCTTGTTCTATTTCTATTCACCTGGTGTGGTATGCCAGTCAGGAGGGGAAGCAGGAACGATCCCACTCAGAAAGCTTAACAATCTACAGGCACAGAAGGTTATGTTAAATTTGAGCCCTAACGCTGTTTGCAGTGTCCATAAATGGAAAGTAAGAGGTAACATAAGATACTCAGAAAAATTTGAAGGAGAGATATTTTAGTTATGATTTACTGAACCTACAGGTTTACATATTTGCCAGCAAAAAGTAATTGTCAAATGTAAATCTAAGTTCATTAATTATATACAGTTACCAATAAAACTCTTTGTATTTTAAATTAAGTTGTAAAGAAAGTTACTACTGTAATCAGAATCCACAATATTGCATTTTTCAGAGGATAGTTCATTGCCTGTTGTCTATTTTTATAGCAATTACAGCTTTATAAATGGGATAGGGACTACAGAGGGTAATTTGTTAGAAGTCTTTTGCTGATTGGGCTCCCTGCTCGCGGGAAGCCTACTTCTCCCTCTCCCACTCCCCCTGCTTGTGTTCCCTCTCTCGCTGTGTCTCTCTCTGTCAAATAAATAAAATCTTAAAAAAAAAAAAAGTCTTGCTGAGTGATCAAGAGTAGTTTCCTGTTCACTCTTGAGCGCTGCTGTGAATACCTTATTTCCAAAATTATAATAAAATGCTTTATCATAATAAGACACCCTCTGTCCCCCAAGTTTTCTTTTCAAGGAAACTTTTTAGTGTTTCAATTTAAAAACAATTATTCAACTTCCTGGTGCCTACTCACCCCTACCCTTTGCTTTCTCTGGTTCAAGCAATTACTATTTTTTTTTTAATATGATAATTTTAAGGTTGGCAATTAAGCGTCAAAACTTTGAACTGATTTATTTTTCTTTGACCTACTAAGTGACTGAGCTCCAAGCAGCAGCTAGAAAGAGGGATAGTGTGTGGCATTATTATGAAGGTTTGCTCACTTTCTATTCCCCTCCAAACCCCCATCTGCCTCCATCCTGCCAGAGATGATCCTACAGTTATAACATTGTTTACACCTTTGCGGAGATCACAAGATGGACCTAAGTATTGGATGATTTGAGAGAAAAAGGTACTCTTTGAGTACTTTTTTTCTTCCATTCAACCAAAAGAGTCAATTAGCATTAGAGGGGGAGAGTTTTGAGAGAACTGATCTTTTGCTTCATTTTCTTTGAACACATTGCTTTATTTCTAAAAGTGTATCAGTGGCAAAACTCAGGTTGCAGGAGAGCCCCCTGCCTCCAACAGCCCCACCTACCCACGCATACATCTGTATACACACATCCAGCTCTGCTATCTGCTCCCACCAAGGCAGCTTCCCAAAATGCCTCTCACTGGAATTTTACTGACTGTCCTCAAAAAAGGTACTTGTTTGTGGCAAGTGCTGTGATTTTGAGGTTAATGTCTTTTTGTTGTTGGTGTTGTCATTATTTTTGTTCCAATTGAGAAAATAAGACTAAAAAAAAAATGCAGAAATCTGTTATGTTCCAGAAATTTCTTATGTTTTAGGCAACAGTGATCCCATTTGCAGTTGCTCTTTTTCACTCAAAAGTAACATTTTAATTGTTCTTAATGGGGAAGAGAATAAAATAAGTATTTTTGCCATATCTAGTTTTCTGTAAATTAATTCACCCCAAATTTGATAGAGGGGTTCCCTGGGTTTGACATAAGAACATGTTTATGTGAAAATAGTACCTGATGTTTTACAAAAATCACCCTCATGGTATTTAAATGGGAGAGGGGGCATTTGAAAAATTACCACTAATGCCTTTATGCTTTTCTGCTGAAGCATGCTAGTAATGGTTTAGCAATCTGAACACTTGTGCATTGCACAGAAATTGTTGAACTTACCACAAGGAGGACCCTACTAGTTTCCCAACATTTTCTTGAATTTAATGGAAGTGTTTATATTATAATATTCTTAGGCCTTTTTTTTTAGATTTTACTTATTTATTTTAGAGAGAGAGGGTTCACAAGTGGGAGGGGCAGAGGGAGAGGGAGAGAGAATCTCAACCAGACTCCGTGCTGAGTATGGAGCCCAACATGGGGCTCAGTCCCAGGACCCTGAGATCATGACCTGAGCCGAAACCAAGAGTCCAACACTTAACCAACCGAGCCACCAAGGTGCCCCTGTTCTTAGGCCTTTTAACTTTAATAAAAATATATTCGTTCCAATACTTAATCCATTATTTAATTTTATCTATATTTTATTACTGACATATTTCAAGTTTGTCTTCAGATTCCTGAAAAGTGTTTTTCTCCTCATCCAAAATCAAATAATATGCAGTAAGTCTTGGATCTGAGAATAGAAAAGTTCCAGGTCTTTCGGCTAGTATGTAAGCTCAGCAAGACCAGGAGCCTCATCTGTCCTGTTCATTGTTATTTCCCCGGAGCCCAGAACATTGCCTGATACAAGTACTCAGAAAAGTATTTGTTTAATGAATGACTGAAAGAACTGCGTTTATGGTTTTTGCAAGTTTTTTTTTTAACTTCACTTTGTATGTTAAGTATGACTACATTGTGAACTACAAGGGAATGCTGAATCGTGAGACTCAGTGGAATTAAATGCCTGAGTGACCTACACAGAAATAAGATTTAAGGACTAAAGGGGTGTTGATGGGGGATATTCCGTGGGAATGCCAAACCCACTAAAATACTCCCACCTTTTGCATCTCCCCAGGAGCACTCACTGTGGGCCTCGTGCGACAGTGTCAAACAATCCATGGACGAGACCGGACGTGCATCCCACCTCGGCTTCCCCCAGAGTGGGTCACCACGCTGTTTTTTATCATCATGGGAATCATTTCATTGACTGTCACATGTGGTTTGCTGGTGGCTTCCCACTGGCGGAGAGAAGCTACAAAATATGCTCGATGGATAGCATTCACTGGAAGTAAGTAACCTGTGCTTACTAAATTTGTCTAGAAGGCGTGCACACTGATATTTTAATGAAGATATCAAAAATCAGTCATAAGGACTCCATAATCATCAAAGAGCACTACTTGCTGTGGCTGTCATATAGACTCTACACAGTCCCATCAGTTCTTTAGAATTCTCACCACAAGACCAAGACATCCAAACCTTAATTGCTTTGTATGAAATGCTATTTTAATGAATTTTATTTTTGCTCACTTTGTGACATAAGCGGTCCAGGTCTGTGGCTCAGAGCTGTCACTAACCTCAGTCTTTTATTCTTCTTGAAAGTATTGGTATCCTCTACCAAATAAAGGTAAACCTAGAAGAAAATGTACAGAAATATAAATTAGATTAAGGTGGTGATTTGCTTTTTAATATCATTAATTTTGAGTTTCTACTGTAAGTTGTGTGACCATTGAAAAAACCAACACATTTCGTTGTTTAATAGTTATTTATCAACATTTCATACTCCATTAAGCTATGCCCTAGGGTATGATACATATTATACATTCTCTTGTACTCTACAAAATTGGTTTAATTTCCCAACACATCAGGGGATTTTCCCAAGTTAAAAGCAGCAAAAATGCACAAAGGAAAGATATTTCTGTAATTTTGTTTTTTTGCTTCTTTCTCTCTAAAGCACTTTTGTGTCCCCCCCCCACGCCCCCCAGGGGATATTTGTCAATGGCTGGAAACATTTTTTTATTGTCATGGCTAAGGAGATCTTTCTGGCATCTTGAGTAGAGGCCAGGGATAATGGCAAAACATCCTACAAATGCAAAGAACAGCTCCCCACAACAAAGACTCATCAGGCCCAAAGTGGCAATAGGGCCCTCTTGAGAAACTTTGCTCTAAAGAACAGGATAACAATCCTTATACCAAATACCATGGGATTTAACTTCTAATTCAATGCCTTATAATTATATCAAGTTTGCGTAAGTTTTAAAAAGTGAATATTATAACACGGCTTACTTTCACTTGATACTTTCATTTAGAACTTGTATGGTAGGGGTAAGGCATAATCCCATGAATCCCTATTAATGTTAAAGCTCAGTTTATCCTTAAAGACCATAAGATAGGGATATTAGTTCATGAGTCTCAGTTTCTGCCTCTCTGTGAAACTCTTTAATGTATATGTTTCTGGGTCTGTTGTTTTATTTCTGTCTATACATCTCCCTTAATTTTAAAATTTAGATCAAGTTGACTTTGACTAAAAAAGTCTTCTCCGTTCTTGTTAAGAAATGTGAAACAAACAGACCTCCTGAGACCATTCTTTTCTGAGTCGTAGGGTCCACAGGCAGTTGCGGAGACAGTGCTGCTAAATTAATTGATGAAGAATTTAAAGAGAATCTTTACTCACAGATAACAATTACTTATCCAGACAGAATTCATTCTTTAAGAAGTAAAATAAAGTCAAAGTAGGAGGATTTAGTTTCTGGATTTAGTTAACATTTGGGAATGCATATGCTCTGAATACCGAAGATCAAAATATAATTGAATAGTAACACTAGTTTAGGATGAGTTGAAGAAAGCATTGAAATGCTGTGTGAGCCTTTGGTTCTTGCCACCCAATAAATAGAAGGAACTAGGGTTATCTTGTTTTCATTTCCTTTCAGCAGATACTTAAGTATATGTAGCTACCTCCAAATGTAATGTGTTTTTCCTTTATTTTTAAAAAAAAATTAAAATAGTAACTTCTAAAAATAATATGTGCATATGATACATAATTCAAAGCCTAGGAAAGGGTCATCAAGTGAAAAGTAAGTCTCATGTGTGGCTCCATTACCTAGCCATTCAATACCTCTTTGCTGGAAGCAACCATTGTTAAGAGTTTCTGGGATTTCCTACCAGAGGTGTCTTATGCATGGAAACATATATGTATATGTGTGAATGTTCTATGAATATATATTCTATTTATACTATTCTGTACCTTGGTTTTTTAGCTCAACAATATACTTGTAGTTAATGTCATCTAAGTAAGCATAGGGCGGGCTGCATTACTCTTCTCAGCTGCCTTAAATACATTGGTTTTTGTTTTTTGGGTTTTTTTTAAGATTTTATTTTTATTTATTTGACAGAGAGAGAGACAGCGAGAGAGGGAACACAAGCAGGGAGAGTAAGAGAGGGAAAAGCAGGCTACCCGCTGAGCAGGGAGCCCGATGCGGGAGCCCCATCCCAGGACCCTGGGATCATGACCTGAGCTGAAGGCAGACACTTAACAACTGAGCCACCCAGGCGCCCCTAAATACATTGTTTTTGTTACCAGAGCTAGTCCACTAGGGTGGCAGTCCTGAGAGGGATTTATGTCCCGCTGGTATTTCCCTTCAGCCTTTGAAAATGTACTTTATTTCTACTGTATGTATTTCTATTCCTCTTAAACTGTAGTTTTGGTAAAAATGTCAGGGTAACATTTTCTAATAGGTTTACACAGTGGGGAGCTCTCTCAGAGGAGAGTCACACGTGATGCAGCCTGCCTGTGGGGGCAAAGGTAACAAAGATGTGTCTTTTTTTTCAAGTCTGACCCTATCCTTAACTCTGCCACTGTAATTTACATTCTCATCTCCCAGTAAACTCAATATCTGACTCTTACTATCGAGAAATCTGTGCCATGGAAGATAGGAAGTGAGGCCTTTATAGGCTTATTTAGGACCCAAAATTTAATTGTCAACAGTTGATAGATGTTATCAGCATTAATAATATTTTAAGATCTAAAGTAACCTCACAGGTCCCAATAGCTTGAAAGAAAACTCATCCACTTTCATTAAATCTTCCCAGAAGTATAGAGAACCTAACTCTTTGGATTAAAAACCAGGATTAGATCAAATAGGAGTTTACTGCTTCCTTAGTATTTGATTAAGCTTTTCCTAACTAATTTGGAAAGCACTTAACTCTTGTAAAAAATTAAACTCTACTTTAAATATAGTCATTAAATGATTACTCCCTTATGAAGGATAGATTTTTATTTTACAATAGAAAGTAGAAAAAGATAGGAATGAAGTTGGCACATTAATTAACAATAAACAATTGTAATATCTGCATATCTCTAAAGCACTTCTAAATTATCTGTGCTTCTTGAGATTAGATGAGTCAACATTAAGAAACAAATTGTTTTTAAAGCAATAACTTTATCCCATTGTTTTTCTGTTAGATTGTGTATAACTGCTTAGATTATGGTTTCATTTTACTTACCAAACCATATTACAGCATAAGAACTGTTAGAAATTGGTGGCAGATAACACAGATAAGTGGGCTTTGGCAGCACTAATAGTCTTTTACTGCTGACTGTACAACAGAAAGTCCAAAAGATCTAATAATATCTGAATTTTTCATTTGTTCTGTAGTAGGCACCTGAAAGAATCCAAATTCACTGATGTAACATTATTTGATGTGGTCATTGGCCCAAAATGAAGTAGGCTGTCTGTGTAATATAAGATAATCCATCTAGATGGTGCAAAGCAAACAAGAATGCTGATGTGTTCTGTAAACCAACGTATTAAGAAAATGTTACTTTTTAATACCTTGGATATTACCCTGGAGGTATTTCTTCCAGAAAAATTCCTAATTGGCTTTTTAAGGACTCTCCTATTAAATTTGTTGATTGATTAACACAAAAATAATTTAGGACAAGTGTCAGCTGCTATGTTTATCCAGGACTTTGTCTGTATTCTTGGGGATATGTTTAACTCGGAAGAAGTTTCTCATTCAGTTAATAATGGAAAGCTTCACCTCTTCACATGCAGTGAGTATAGTAACCTGTTTTCACATTACACTGAAGAAACATTTCCGCCTCCAAAGAAATTTGAAGGACTATGAACATTTGACCAATGTGCTTTCAAAAAGCATAAAATATTCTCTTGGAAAAGCTAGCCTATCAATGGGTAATTTGTGTTCACTAGAAAGAGTGTTTCTTTGGTAGCCCAGGGGCACAAGCTGTTCGCTGAAACAGAGGACTCCGGAATTCTACCCAGATGCTGGGTTTGCTGATACCTTTCTAGAAACATTTTAGCAAATAATATATTTCATTGTGTTTGTATACAAAACGCAAAGAAGCCCCCCCCGCCCCATTTTAACCTGTGTACTCAGAAAACCTGAGGGAGATTTTATTTTTTTCTAACATTGTCCATAATGAGAGAGAACCACTCTGACAGTTTACTAATCATCTCAGAAGCCTGAGGTTCTTTCCACTAAGTGATTTTAAATCAGAGTAAGATCAGTAGTACTATATTTGTTTGTACCTTTTCTCCAATTCCTTCTAATACCAACTGAGAGGAACAGAATTGGTAGAATAATAACTGATAATAATAATATGCAACGTTTATTCAGCACTTACTATCAACCTGGCACTGTGCCAGGGACTTGACATTGTTTTGTTTATCCTTCTGGTATTTACCCCATTAGAAGGGAACCAGAAGCCTAAGATTGCACAGCTAATAAGTAGTGAAGCCAGAACATAGCCCCTCTCTGATTCTAGCTTGAGCCCTTAATCACTACTTTAAGTGGTCAAGTATAGTTTATGCACACACCTGAAACTAATATAATGCTGTCTGTTAAATATACTGGAGTTAAAATTTTTTTATTAAAATTTTTAAAAAGAATAGTTTATATAAGCACTTAGTAGGTTTGGAGCCCTTTCTTAATTCTGATATTCAAAATCGTCCTAACACGTATATAAAAGGCTAGCCCAGCTTTTACTATATTTAATTGTTAGGCTTTGGGGATATTATGTGATCTGTAGAAGATGTAAATCTCTTGACAAGTGGTCAATGTTTTAACAGGTTTGACCATGTTATCAATCCACAACCGTTCTTATAAACTTCCTTTGTGCCAAATTTTCATTGTTTTCTTAATCACCAAACCGTGTTACTAATGTTGTGTTTTGGTTTGTTTTACAGTGATCCTTTTCTGTATGGCTGCCCTAATATTTCCGATAGGATTTTACATCAATGAAGTCGGAGGTCAACCTTATAAATTACCCAA